CACTCTGAGATATTCTAACTAAAAAAAAATATTTTAATCTCTCAATTCCATTTTATAACTCAAATATCACTCACGGCATAAGTGCGTAGAAAACTCTTTATGGCTTACTATTAGAGAAGTTTTTGCAATTTGTACTAGAAGCACTCATGCCAGGAGGGTGGGGTGGGGAGCGAAAAGAGTGAGGGTAGATAGGAAGGAGAGTGGGGGTGGGCAGCTAGGAGAGTGGGGGTGGACTGGGAGCAGAGTGGGGGTGGGCAGCTAGGAGAGTGGGGGTGGACTGGGAGCAGAGTGGGGGTGGGCAGCTAGGAGAGTGGGGGTGGGCTGGGAGCAGAGTGGGGGTGGGCAGCTAGGAGAGTGGGGGTGGGCTGGGAGCAGAGTGGGGGTGGGCAGCTAGGAGAGTGGGGGTGGGCTGCGAGGAGTGGGTAGGGGTGGGTAGCAAGGAGAGTAGGGGGTAGATATCAAGCAGGGAGGGGGGCGGGGGAGCAACGGTAGGGGAGGGGAGGGGGTAGACCAGTTATAATAATAGGACAGTGAAAATTAACAAAATAAAATCACAAAATAACATTTCTAAAATTCGCTGAAATTAGTGTAATTATAATATTCCTTAATATTATAATATTCAGTTGCAGAGTGCTTCTGGCAGTATGGGTACGAGTCACTTCTGGGGTGTGATATATATATATATATATATATATATATATATATATATATATATATATATATATATATATATATATATATATATATATATATATATATGCGAACAAGCCTGAATGGTCCCCAGGACATATGCAACTGAAAACTCACACCCCATAAGTGACTCGAACCCATACTCCCAAGAAGCAACGCAACTGGTATGTACAAGACGCCTTAATCCACTTGACCATCACGACCGGACATAATGAGGTGATAGCCGAGGCTATATGAACCACCCCACCGCCGGCACTCGGATAGTTATCTTGGGCATAGCATTTTACCAAATCACCTCATTCTTTGGGGCACACGTGAGGAACACAAATGCGAACAAGCCTGAATGGTCCCCAGGACATATGCAACTGAAAACTCACACCCCAGAAGTGACTCGAACCCATACTCCCAAGAAGCAACGCAACTGGTATGTACAAGACGCCTTAATCCACTTGACCATCACGACCGGACATAATGAGGTGATAGCCGAGGCTATATGAACACCCCCACCGCCGGCACTCGGATAGTTATCTTGGGCATAGCATTTTACCAAATCACCTCATTCTTTGGGGCACACGTGAGGAACACAAATGCGAACAAGCCTGAATGGTCCCCAGGACATATGCAACTGAAAACTCACACCCCAGAAGTGACTCGAACCCATACTCCCAAGAAGCAACGCAACTGGTATGTACAAGACGCCTTAATCCACTTGACCATCACGACCGGACATAATGAGGTGATAGCCGAGGCTATTTGAACCACCCCACCGCCGGCACTCGGATAGTTATCTTGGGCATAGCATTTTACCAAATCACCTCATTCTTTGGGGCAACACGTGAGGAACACAAATGCGAACAAGCCTGAATGGTCCCCAGGACATATGCAACTGAAAACCTGGGGACCATTCAGGCTTGTTCGCATTTGTGTTCCTCACGTGTTGCCCCAAAGAATGAGGTGATTTGGTAAAATGCTATGCCCAAGATAACTATCCGAGTGCCGGCGGTGGGGTGGTTCATATAGCCTCGGCTATCACCTCATTATGTCCGGTCGTGATGGTCAAGTGGATTAAGGCGTCTTGTACATACCAGTTGCGTTGCTTCTTGGGAGTATGGGTTCGAGTCACTTCTGGGGTGTGAGTTTTCAGTTGCATATGTTCCTGGGGACCATTCAGGCTTGTTCGCATTTGTGTTCCTCACGTGTGCCCCAAAGAATGAGGTGATTTGGTAAAATGCTATGCCCAAGATAACTATCCGAGTGCCGGCGGTGGGGTGGTTCATATAGCCTCGGCTATCACCTCATTATGTCCTGTCGTGATGGTCAAGTGGATTAAGGCGTCTTGTACATACCAGTTGCGTTGCTTCTTGGGAGTATGGGTTCGAGTCACTTCTGGGTGTGAGTTTTCAGTTGCATATGTCCTGGGGACCATTCAGGCTTGTTCGCATTTGTGTTCCTCACGTGTGCCCCAAAGAATGAGGTGATTTGGTAAAATGCTATGCCCAAGATAACTATCCGAGTGCCGGCGGTGGGGTGGTTCATATAGCCTCGGGTATCACCTCATTATGTCCGGTCGTGATGGTCAAGTGGATTAAGGCGTCTTGTACATACAGTTGCGTTGCTTCTTGGGAGTATGGGTTCGAGTCACTTCTGGGGTGTGAGTTTTCAGTTATATATATATATATATATATATATATATATGCTTGTGTGTGTGTTGTAATTTAGTTAGTATTCATGAGGTCTTGTGATGATGCTTTTTTTACGGTCATTCTTAAATTTGTTCCTCTTGAGATCTTGAAAAAGTTACCATAAAGTCTGGACTCCCTCACGTGTAATGTGCCGAGCTGATCTAAGAAATGGCGCCCATGCCAGCAGTTACTAGATATAAACGTCACAACATGCGAGAAATTTCCCGTTGTAAAAAGGAATTTTGGGCTACTACAGTCTGATGTGACCTGCTGCTAAACCACCAACCAGTAACCGAGAAACAAACCCCACAGCCAATCAGTAACCGGAACACAAAACACACAGCCAGTCAGCAACCCAAACACCATCCTCCCAACCAATGGGCACCTATGGTAACATTTTCATTCGTGGATAAAAGTGCCAATGTGATTGGCGAAGTATTAAGACACAATGACAAGAAACAGACCAATGGGAATCGACCCAGGCTTCTTGTTAGATGTGGTCTGGCCGGCTGTGTTGCGCCTTGCCCTGACTCGCTATGTTGCGCTCTTCCCTCGACTTCTTGTGTTACGTCAGGTCCCAGATTGCTGTGCAAGTTTTGTCCCAAGCTTTCTGAATTATACGTGGGCCAGATTTGTAGCGTTAAGCTGGCCTTGGTTTGCTGTGATCTGGCTGTCTTACGCCTGAAACCACCCGCTGTGTTAGGTCATGTTTCAGAGAGTAACGTTCAATCTAGCTTCGGCCTGCTTGCTGTATTCGGCCCGGCCTGCTTGCTGTATTCGGTTTCGGCCCAGCCTGCTTGCTGTATTCATCCTGAACCAGTCTTACAGTAATAGATCTTGATCTACTTTCTGTACTATATCTGGTTTTAGTTGGACACCAGTTAGGTACTTCTGAAATTCTTGCTTATTGTGAGCATCCATGTTCTGGTTGGTAGGACAAGTTTTTTTGAAGGCCAGAGTTCGAATCTTCGACGATTCAAATGAATGAAATGTATAATATCAGGACAAGCCTGTTCTGTTACCCTTTGACCCGGCTTCTTGTATTTCTTGTTGTCAGTGAGCGACTGAAACACACATTGTTCATGACACTGACAGTCGAGGTTCAATCACAATAACAGAATTGCATGCCAATCTACAGGCGAGATCAAAATAAATATAGGCCCACTAGCCAATCAACAACAGTAAAATCAGGTGAAAATCTAAGTCTTCATAACCATTCATCTTCCAAAACCCATTCATATACATTACCCTTCTCCCCAATCTGAGACAGATATCCAGGCACAAACGCAGATCTTCCAGCCAATCGCCTACCGAGTTCCAAGCTAAAATATGTCCCAATCAGCGGGTGAATTCTCAGCACACACACACACACACACACACACATACAACCCGCCCAGCCAATCAGCTCGCGAAATTCAAACACAAACGATAAATCTCTGGGATTGGTGGCTTCAAAGAGTCGTCTCTTCTGTCTGTTGCTCTTGTCATGTGGATTACGTACCGGTCTGCAACTCTGAAATATTGTGCGGTGATTTTACCTTACCATTGCCAGCGTCTGTATCGTCCCCCCTCGTTGCTGTCTACACTGCTGTAGCACCCGGCTGGCTGTAGTCTACACTGCTGTAGCACCCAGCTGGTTGTAGTCTACACTGCTGTTGCGACCACTGCTACAGCATACACTGATACACAGTGTACACTGATACACAGTGTACACTGCTGTAGCGACCACTGCTACAGCATACACTGATACACAGTGTACACTGCTGTAGCGACCACTGCTCGACTACTGAACTGTCATATTCTCTGCCACAAGAGCCATTACTACCGCCTAGGTCAAGCGGGGGGTTGAGAATCAAATGACTTGGTCAAACATCACAGACTGACGACATTGTTTACCAGGGGTTTGGATGCAGTTTGTTTTTCACGCTCGTCGACCAAAAGCTGAGAACATCAACACTCCCTTTTTGTTGTTGGGGGAAGGGCGGCGACGGCCGAGGGATGGGTGCGCCCAGCAATCCACGGGCTCACCATAGCCCGTGCTACATGGACACTTCGTTCTGAGTAGCTAAATCTCAAACAACAACAACCTTTTCACCGCCAATGGGCGATATAGGCCTACACACTCCCCCTACCGTCTGCATATACTTACTAATTATTATCCTAAATATATATGAACAAATCCACAAGGGCAGTGATATAACTGAGAGAACATGTGATATATCACGTTATTGTGATTGGTGTGTGTACTGAAGTACACACGTCAGTTGGTGACGTGCAGACCAGGCTGTCAGAGGGAGGACTGGTTGGTTGACAGAGCCAGAGTGTATGGGAGCAAGTGTGTGAAACCCCGGTTAGGCTTCAGTGGAAGCCTCGAGATCCTCGTGGGAGCAGCAGCACTCCAGGTTGCAATTATTTTACCATGTCGTGTTACAGATGACTATAGCGCGTCTGGAATCATGTAAGGCGGTAATGGCTATTGTGGCAGAGCGTTTATTTCTATAGAAATATATTCTATATTTCTTATTTTTATTTATATAGTTTCTTTATGGAAACTTCCAGCGCATGAGTTCGAACCCTCATTAAGGCCCTTGTGGATTTGTTCACACTAATATGTGGTATTGTTTTCAGACTTCCGTCTTGTTATAATGAGGTTTGGAAGATGTGTTGATAATATAAGGACTTGTGATTCATCGTCACATATCATGGCACACTACATGGCACACTACATGGCACACTACATGGCACACTACATGACACACTACATGACACACTACATGGCACACTACATGGCACACTACATGGCACGCTACATGACACACTACATGACACACTACATGGCACACTACATGGCACACTACATGACACACTACATGGCACACTACATGACACACTACATGGCACACTACATGGCACACTACATGGCACACTACATGACACACTACATGACACACTACATGGCACACTACATGACACACTACATGACACACTACATGACACACTACATGGCACACTACATGACACACTACATGGCACACTACATGGCACACTACATGGCACACTACATGACACACTACATGGCACACTACATGGCACACTACATGACACACTACATGGCACACTACATGGCACACTACATGGCACACTACATGACACACTACATGGCACACTACATGGCACACTACATGACACTACATGGCACACTACATGGCACACTACATGACACTACATGGCACACTACATGACACACTACATGACACACTACATGGCACACTACATGGCACACTACATGACACACTACATGGCACACTACATGACACACTACATGACACACTACATGGCACACTACATGGCACACTACATGGCACACTACATGGCACACTACATGGCACACTACATGACACACTACATGGCACACTACATGGCACACTACATGACACAATACATGACACACTACATGACACACTACATGACACACTACATGGCACACTACATGACACACTACATGACACACTACATGGCACACTACATGGCACGCTACATGACACACTACATGACACACTACATGGCACACTACATGACACACTACATGACACACTACATGACACACTACATGGCACACTACATGACACACTACATGACACACTACATGACACACTACATGACACACTACATGGCACACTACATGGCACACAACATGGCACACTACATGGCACACTACATGACACACTACATGACACACTACATGGCACACTACATGGCACACTACATTCTGATTGAATAAGAAAAACCTGAGTAAATATTGGTTTGGCAACAGGGTTGTTGATTTATGGAACAAATTGTCAGTTAACGTAATAGTCGTAGGATCACTGGATTGTTTCAAGTGTAGGTTAGACGCATATATATATATATATATATGAATGAGGTTGGGGGGAAATAAACAGGAGCTGCATCGTATAGGTCAACAGGCTTTCTGCAGTTTCCTATATTCCTGTATTCTTATGTTCTTACTATAAATTGGGTTGTACGTGGGACAGATCAATCATGCTACCATCGTCGTCCTCGACGATTCTTTAACATCATATTACTCAGTTGTCCGACACGATAACATATTTGTATCGTTATCGTTGATCGATAAGTACCACATTACAATCTCGTACCTTGGTTTTAGGTACGAGATTGGAGCTGATAATGATTTTATTGAGGAAATGATAATGCTGTTAACAGTTTAATAGCATTATCATTTCCCTGAAAGTATTGAGTCACTATATGTTCCCCTACAATACTGCCCATGACTAAAGCACCCAACAGTGTTACATCCAGTACTGTAGTATCGACATGGTGTAAAATACAATAGGATAGCAGCCACCAGTGTAGCAGTGGTGGCTGCTGCTATCAAATATCTCGGTATTGTAGGAGCTCAGGCGCCAGGATGACTGCTTGTTTCCCTCTTTAAGAATATTTACATACTACAGTGGTCCCGCCGCGCACAATCTGCACTTGCCGTGAGAGAACATTGTGATGAGAACTTAATTCTGATGTATAAAGTATGCAACTCCGTAAATGGTTTTGTGAAAGAATTTGTTGCCAACTGAATAAGCATTTACATTTGTAAAATTATTGGCGTGGTTTAGTCTTGTTAGAAGTGCTAGTTGAGGTGGTTGTGGTAGTAGTGGTGGTTGTATTGGTGGTAGTTGTATTGGTAGGGTCGTAGTTGTAGTGTTGGGGAGGTTGTAGTGGTGGTAGTTGTAATGGTGGTGGTAGTAGTTGGGGTGGAGGTAGCAGTAGTGGTTGTAACAGTGCTGATGGTAGTAGTAGTGGTGGTATTGGTGGTGGTCTGTGGAAGTAGAAAAAAGTCTCTCTGTCCAGAACAGGAGGCCAGCAGATGCTTGGGGCTAGCCTCAACCAACCATCTAAGATGACATACAAAAGGTATGGGAACTTCATAGGCCAGTCAGGGTTGGCCCCCAGTGCCACCCTTTAAGAAGTATCGGGTCTTATAACGATCCCTAAGTCTGAAATCATAGATTTGTTTTCCATAAAGGTTTTAACGGTTTTCAGTGCTTCAAAATATAACATTTTCTGAGTGGGTAGAGGGGCAACGGGGATTGGGGGAGATTGGGAGAAGAGGAGAAGAGTGAGAGGGGAAGGGGAAAGATGGAGGAGAGGAGAGGAGAGGGGGGGGATAGGGGAAGAGATATGAGAAAGGGAGAGATAAATATAATTATCTTCAGACAAATACTAACAAAAATACACCTTAGCAGCATCAGAGGACAGACATACTGTCTACCCTCGGCTCATACCAGGACCACCCCCGTCTGATGGACGCAGTTCACAGCTATTATGGAGATTATACGTGTATACTTTAAATAACTTGAAAATTATGCACTTAACGAGCATACAAGTTGAATTAAGTGGATAGAGCAGTTACTGTTGCACTCGTTTGAACACCACTGTGCGTCTCTTGACGTGTCATCACACGAGTCAAGCGCCACAGTAGCCTGTATACAACACATCAACAGGATATACTTGTATTGTACACGATTCGACGAAACTCATTTTCTAATTGTCATCCCGTATATATTTCTGGATGTATTAGCTTAGCTTAGACTGCGCTAAGTTTGGTTAGGTTGTGTTGGAGCGGGCAAGGTTAGGGTGGGTTGTGTTGTTCTAGGTTGGGTTAGGTTAGGTTAGGTTCTATAATCTGTTGGAACATTGTCTCGCTCCCCAACCCCAATCGAGACCGAGTGACGGTCTCGCTTCATGCAGGTCGGCGTTCAATCCCCGAACGACCAAGTCGTTGGGCACCATTCCTTTCCCCCCGTCCCATCCCAAATCCTTAACCTGACCCTTTCTAAGTGCTATATAGTCGTAATGGCTCAGCACTTGCCCCCCTGATAATTCCACCCCTCCCTAAGATACGTCTTCTTCGCCTCCCAACCTTCTATCAATCCACTGACTCTTGTTGTTGTTAAAGATTTAGCTACTCAGGACGAAGTGTCCATGTAGCACGGGCTATGGTGAGCCCGTAAATCCACTGACTCGTATCAACATTAACTTAATGATGAACACAGCGTGATGCTTCACCTCACAGACTGCCACCTTTCTTCACCCTCTCAAGCCCTACTTTCTGTTTCTCATCTCCATGATAGTGGACTCAAACCCTTGATTTTTTTCGAACCGGGAACACCCGTCTATTTGATTTTAAATATTTTTAAACACTGGGAACTTCTGTCAATTTCATAATTATTTTGTAACACTTACCTTGGCTGGCACTGGACAAACACCACCACGATAACATCAGCGGTGTGTGCGAAACTGAAACAGACAAAAGGATACATTTAAGAACCTATAGACGAGGATCTTCAGAACACTGCACATGATATATAAGAGAAAGGGTATTGGGTATGCAGCCCAGGCGTGGAACCCTTACCTAGAGGAGTAAATTAAAACTAATTTAAGTAGTACGCTGCGAGGTACGAACCCTTGCCAGGATCCATGAAGAATTTACGCCTCCACTTACGAAACCTGTCCATCTTTCATCAAGGCGGGTAAATTTGCTTTTATTCCAACAAATTATGAGCTACAAGGCTGTCTGTAACAATAATAACCCTGAGTGGTTATTATTATTATTAACATCTTTATTGACAAAATTAATTACAATTTTGCCTAATCTGAGGATTTTGATAGTCTTATTAAATTGAGGATAATGCTAGTATTCACTGTCACGCAGGACAGAGGGTCATACATAAGACAATAGGTCTAAACTGTAGGCTGAAGCACATATATATCACGGTTACAATCAATGTTTTAATGTATGGATATGTGAAAACAACTTTCTACTGTGCACTGCCACACAAGGGCAAGGATGGGTTCATAAGTGATACAGCTTAGAAGTAATATAAATACAAATTATTCATCATTCTTTAAAATGGACAAGCAAATTTTGGATAAATTGTTAGGATGTCGTCCAGAACACCTGAGTCAATAAAATAGTTACACAGTTGGTGGTACAAGAGGCCAGGAGGTCTAAAGTCCTCTACGGTTTCACATTCATCAATATAGTGTTCTAGTGAATGCATTAAAGGTTTATCACAGGTGAACCACTTCGCAGCGCTTGCCAGTTCGCAAACGTTTTAATACAGAATAACCCCCCATGATCCAGGAAAGATGTACAGGTTTCGTATGGGGACACGTAATGCTCTGATGACTCGTGGCCCAGATCTGGAAGGATGAAACTATGCGGAGAGAATCTAAAAGAGCAGCATCGTATAATATCCGACACACAGAAATGAGGATATAATATAGCCTATCCTTAAATGAAACTACTTATAGCAACCATTTGGTGGAAAGTACCAATTTGTAAGTAACTTTAGCATCATTTAATTTGGACAAACCAGAAATGTTTTTAACTGTAAAATAAATATAAGACTTAATCTAACCTCTACCAGTAGTCCTAGGCCTAATATATATATAAATATATATATATATATATATATATATATATATATATATATATATATATATATATAATATATATATATATATATATATATATATATATACACATATATATATATATATATATATATATATATATATATATATATATATATATATATATATATATATATATATATATATAACATACTGTTAATGTTATACAGTCAGGGAAAGATAATGCTAACAAATCCTACTTAAATATTCCTTGGGTTTGTATAACACACACACACACACACATATATATATATATATATATATATATATATATATATATATATATGTGTGTGTGTGTGTGTGTGTGTGTGTGTGTGTGTGTGTGTGTGTGTGTGTGTGTGTGTGTGTGTGTGTGTGTGTGTGTTATACAAACCCAAGGAATATTTAAGTAGGATTTGTTAGCATTATCTTTCCCTGACTGTATAACATTAACAGTACAAGTGTTCTCCTGGTGGTCCATCAGTACATATTGGTACTTTGGATCAAACATTTATAATGAACCCAAGCAACCCACCTAACTTACGAGGCTGATGCTCAGAAAACGTCAATATTAGAGTGTTTTAAGATGTACCAAAACCTCGCATTTTGACGAATTTATCGATTCTGTTAAAAATGTGATGTATTAGATGATAGGACCACCGCTACTAGCTTAGGGAGTGAGAATGTGGTCCATGCGTTCAGAGATGGTGCGAGAGGACCCATGCGGCGGTACTCAGAGCGAGCCATCAACTACAGCTGTTTGCATGAG